CCCCAAGTCAAATGCTACTCAGAGAGCCAAGCAACTGTCACAGTCACTCTCTCCACTCTATAATTTGCTGGCATATGTGGTGGTCATATATTCTCCCCAACCTGTGATTTTATTTATTATCTGGTACAGTCAGCAAATAGCTTTTGGTGTCCTGTCATTTGCATAGGGACATACTCATCATTCTTTAGTTCACTTGTAATTATTAACATAAAAACATCAGGATTCGTGATGTCTTGGAGACGCCATGAATTTGAGGACGTCTCTGCAAGATTAGAGATGAAGGTGTAAACAGCGATCAACCAAGTGTTCTCCCTGGAGTCCTAAACAACAAGGATGAACATTGCAAAGTCTCGTAATCATAACCAAGCTGAACAAACTGTGCTTCCCATTTTAATAATTCAGCCGTAATAGTAGCTAAAAATTTTGGCAGGGCTGGTAGAAAGCTATTCTTTCAACTGAAAGGAATGATGGAAGTAGTCTGGGTGGTCCAGGACAGCATTCAGACAGAGAAAGCAAGGAGGGCTGAGTAGAGGAGGAAAAAGCCCTTCAGTATAAAAAGTACAGAAAGGTACCAAGAACAAGCAAACAAAACCAAGCATGAAGTGTTCTGTGCAAAAGACACTGCCAGCAACTAACAGAGCAGACAAAGAGTACTGCAGCTTCTGATGGAAGATAGATTCTGATGTGGAGACAGTTCATCTGGAGAATTCAGTCCAGAAATAGCTCGCTCAGCTATTGCTCAGGCATGCAGGCACACTGTGAGCACAAGACAAAAATTATACTAGTACAGAGAAGGGTAGATGAGAGCCTCCTGAATTGAGAGATAAGATGCTGTTTGGGGTAGCTGTACATAATCCTCACGAAAGGATTTTTCTCATGATCTCAGCTACCTTGGGTTCTCATCCTAGAAGTGGGCATACAGTTATTGGGATGTTCAAAAGCAAGGGGAAAAAAAAAAGCTGGAGGCACAAAGGGGAGAGAACAGTATTCACACTTTAAAGCTATAAAGTCATCCTAAGCTCTCATTCAACTGAGTTACTAAGCATCCATAGCACATCAGAGTGTGGAAAAAACTTTGATTACTCAGATGATTGTATAACTTTAATAGATGCATATGAGTAATGAGGTAAACTATTTTGTGCTATCAAAACTTCTGCTTGAAAAGAATGCATAATCTGTCCTTTACAATATGCCAGTTATACAACTCTACATGACTATAAATCTAACATTCTTTGCTACGCTTAATTATTATTTAATACAAATAGTGTACATTTACAAAATACATCCGGTCATAAATATCGCCACTGTTATATTGAACAGTTGGGAAAAGGCCTTAGTTTTGAAATATTTATATACAGTTTAATGAAAAACATCACTGAGTCAATCATAACACATAGTTCTATGACATGTGAGATTGTAATCTCAAGTTTCAGAAGTTTTCTTTAACAGCAGAAATGAGCTTTTTATAAATCTAACAAATTATCAGAATAAACTGTAATGGAAGGAAGGTTCTTTACAATACTCAAGATAACTCAAACAGTAAGACTGATGACTTACTGAAGTGTAGGTCTATGTGCTGTTAAGTGCTAAGCCCCTTCTGCTTCCACATACTTTTCCTTGTACTTTCTCCAAGTCTGTACATACAAGTTCCCACAGCTGTATCACATAAATAGCAAGTAACCTACAACTGGCCTTTCAGACTTAATAGGTAGTATTTGAAAAGTAGGAATGAAACACAAATTGAGCATTGGACAAACACAAACTAAGCAATTTCTAATGCAATTTTATCCACCAATGAATGGCTGATTAGACAGATACAAGGCTTTTCTAAACATAGACATAGCAATATCATGAAAATAAATTTAAATTCTTAGGCAGAACTAAGAAAAACAAATCCATTTTTAATTTTGATGCAGCTTTAAAAGTCTGTGTTCACATTCATTTTCAGATGTGCATGACAAAGTTCTCATACCATTGAAATAATGCCTTTAAGATTTTAAGTCTGTGAAATCCGAACTCCTTAATGGTTAAGCAACTGCACAGAATTCTAGAATTGGTAACTGTGAAACGTCAAACTGAACATAGACTTGACCACAAGCTCCCTGCGCAATACTAAAGCCAAACTTGGCCAAAGATACAAACAGCAGCATAAACAACATAACTGCAAAAAGGCAATATTTGCACTAGAAAGATACATACCAAAATAGCCAGAACATTTCTGTATATGTTTTTTTTTTGAATAATAAAGAAAATACAGAGACAGAAAGTGAGACCTGAAGCTCAGCATGTTTAGCTTATGAAAATTACATAGAAAAGCAATTGGTTTATAGTATTATTTATTTTAGGATACTAATAACTGACAAAAAGAACCAGGCACAAATAAATAGAACTAATATATATGTGTGTGTGTGTGTGTGTATATATATATATTTTTTTTTTTTAGAACTCTTTAGATCTTCATTTCAAATGAAGAATGGACACTTTCTGGAAGATATGCATCAAGCACAACAAACAGAATGTTTTAGTGAGACAAGTAGCTGTGCTCAGTATAAAATTCAGCAGAAAAAAAACTGTAGGGATTTTACCAGAAGGACAGGCAGATTATATAAACGTCAACAGAGCCAATATTTAGGACAGCTTTTGGCATTTTGGAAAATCTATCTGCAATCCATATACAATGTATAGATTTTTTAGCTATTTGTACAATAATCAGTGTGTATTTAACTCATCCATTTCTTGCCGGGGAGAACACCACATATTGCGCACAATACTGTCCTGATGCATCCACAGAACAATCAAAGAAAAACAATTAATATATTAAAATAACTGGATAGGGAAGCAGAAACTGGTATCCTTGACTGCCTACAGGATAGTGAAATTGAGCAATTAACAAAGGAAGCAGCACTGGAAACAGCCCTGAAAAAGATGCGTACACTCCATAGAAGCATGATATAAACATTCCGTCTGAGCAAGTTATGAAAATAGAATCTGTGAGAAGAAAGAGAGAAGAGCTATGGGACCCTAGAAGAATTGACGAAAACTTGTGATTACATGGAAATGAGGGTCTATAAGAAGCAAGCTTTTTTTGGCTCAAAGTTCTCTATGACAGCCATTTTGGGGCTACAAACTACAACCAAATCCTGACATTTCCCAAAAATATTTGTGCACACCTGTTTTCAAATTTTGAATTGAAGATATTATAGACATCATTATTCCAAGACGAGGTGCAACACATTTGCTATAGTCTTGTGAACCGTAGTGAGAGAGGTTGCTCCTCTGAGTATTGTTTATCTTTAATAAAGTTACATCATGGGTTTTGGTGCTGCTCAAGGAGCCCAGAGCATCTACACAATGTGACAACTACAAAAGACAGTCATAATGGTGTAAGGGTGGCAAGTCCCTTCTGTGTCTTTTTTAAACGAATGAGAAACCACTGGATCAATTACTGTCCCCCGGCACAAGATACAGCCAGCGTTAGAAGCTGTTACACCAAATGCAGCCACAACTACACATGCTGAAATGTTCCTGTGAGCACATCTTGTCCAGAACTAGAAACAATCCCTTTTACTTTGATAAATTGCAGTGTAGGAGGAAATCATTTTGGCTAGATGCATATGTCAATTAGCCTGTTCAGAATAATTAAATTGCTTATTTCTTTGTTAATATGTATCGTGTGAATTTATTCATCTACAGAAATGAGAAGTACAACACAGAAAAATACTATCCTGTATTTATTTGGAAGCATTATCCTTTATAGCAAGGAAACAAGTAACACTTCTGAACCACCTCCAGTATATGTAGGAACACTTTTTCAAATTTTGTCAGTGCTCTATCAGCAGAATCACTGACAACCTGTCCTGATGTTGCTGAGAAAAACCTTCTCATATTCTTTTTCCAAAAGATCAACAGACCAAGACAGACTCTAGGCTAGAATGACAAGTTGATCAAATCAGTCAGACAAAACAGAGGTCTCTTAAATATAGCAAGCCAATAATGATATTCATAGCTAGGTATTCTAAGGTTTTATTATATGTAACAGAGATGATTTGGGAAATGCTGCAAAATTGTGTGCACCTCTCTGTTAATAATATATGATTCCTTATTACTGAAAAACCCAGAGTAGAAAAAGAACTTAGAGCAAAATTTAAAACTTTCAGCACACATAGGAAAAAGTGAAATTGCTCTTGCAAAAAGGAGATACATACCCTGATGTATACTTTTAAGACTGCTGTGACTGTTCAGTATTTACATTGATTTAACAAACAATTCCTTAAAGCATATTAAGACAAAAAAAAGCTTTCAGGGAAGAAGTCCAGTGTGCATGTATTAAGCCCACAGAACCATCTTGCAATTTACATAGACATTACCTACTCATTTGTAACTTCCCATCTTCACAATTGTTGTTAGCCCACATCAGAAGAAACGAACAAAACCAAGTATTACAAAATGCCATCAAATATCAAAGGTGTCTTTCTACTTTTAAGCTTATAAACTTAAAACAACTACAATAAAATAAATAAATACACAGTTATTTTTCTGATATGACTTCTTAGATGTTTTTCAACCTAGCTGTTTGACTCCTGTACCATGAAGTTCAGGTATGAATATTAATCACTGGGCCCCCAAAATACCTCTGGTTTCTTGATCACTTTACAGTCGGTTTCAGACTAAACTTAGCTGCTTTGCACAGTGAGATGAAACATTTACAACTACTTTCAGCAGCTGAAAATGATGAAATTCAGCTCAATCCCCCTCCCCTCTCTCCCTGGCACATATACTTTTAAGGCATGACTCTTAAAAACCTAAAATCCAGCAATCTAATGCTAAGAACTTTTTAAGGCTTTTCTCGAAAACACCTACCTTAGTATAATCTATAGTCAGCTTATTAGTCAAAATATTAAGAAACATCTGTTTCCTTAGACCCGAGTTCTCTTTTTATGACTGGTTCTTGCTTTAAGCAAGCAGTGAACACAGGAAATACTCGTGTCCTGAAAGCTTACCTTCCAGTAAGTCTCTTGCCAGACCTGGTTCTGCCCCTGTGGACCGAACAAAGTCTGACAGGACTGCATCCATATCAAGAGTCATGTGATCATTCAGAGATGCTGCCAGACATGCAGCAGCAGTAGGACTCACTGGTTGGCTAGAAGGCATCCATCTGCCAAGATGAAAAAGAAACAGGATTTGAGAATATACTCCAAAGTGATGCAAACCACATTTTTCCTCTCTTCCCCAAACAAGGCTATTAAAAATACCAAAACATTCAAGTTACAGCATATTAAAATAAATAGCATTTGTCATCCATTTCTGCCTTCGCCTAGAAGCTGTTGATCAGTCACACTGGGAGGTTTTCTCTTTCTTAACATTTCATATTTTTATTGATTTTTCTTAAGTGCAGCTTGTACATAACTCTGCAACTTGAAGACTCCAATCCAGCTAAACACAGGCAGTATTTATTCAAAGCACAATCATCATCTCGTTGTCACTGCTCATACACTGAAGTTTAACAAGTATTTAAATGTTTGGCTAGCATAGAGCTCTTTTGCCTTACTTATTAATACTAACATATACATAACAGAGCTAAGTATTTGTTCTTTTATTTGCCTTGTCACTACCACTTCTATAATTTATAGTTTCTCCACTGTACTGAGTCTGGCTGGCATGGAGTTAATTTTCTTCAATCATTTTCTAGAATTGTGGCTACACCTGCATTGATAACACATCAATATTTTAGTCATTGCTAAGCAGTGCTTACACAGCCTCAAGGCCTTCTCTGGTTCCCACTCTGCCCCCCCCAAGCAAGTAGGCTGGGGGTGGGCAAGAGGCTGGGAGGGAACACAGCCAGGAGAGCTGACCCCAGCCTATGGAAGGAATATTCCAGACCATCTAACATCTTGCTCAGCAGTAAAACTGGAGTAGAGTCTTTCCAAAGCAGCCACTGCTCAGAGCCTGGCTGGGTATCAGTCTGCTTGTGAGAGATGGTGAGTGACCGGTTTTGCATCAGTTGCTTTTTTCCCCTCTCTTTCCTTCACTTTAATGAAACTGTCTTTGCCGTGATCCAGGAGGTTTTTTTCTTGCTTTTGCTGTTCCGATTCTCTCTCCCTTCTCACTGGGTGGTGAGGAGAGTGAGTGAGTAGCTGGTAGGTTCTTAGTTGCTGGCCAGGGTCAGCAAACTCCAGGGCTTTGTACATCAAACTCCAGGATTTGTTAATAGCCACTTCTAGCTTTTGCTGTTTGCTGTGTTGTTTCTCACTTCATTTTTCTTTGCCTGTGAGAGCTATGAGAAAAGCAGTAGCCTTGAGTCTAATCTGGTGTTTGGCCCATGTACTGCTGTCATCCCAATACTCTGGAAATCATCTCATGGAGTCAATTAACAATTACACCTTTCTTTTCTGCTCCTCC